CGGCCCGTCCACAGACGACATCGCCCGCACTCTCGTCGACGCCCTGACCAGCCGTCTTCAGATAACACCCGGAGACATGGGTAGAGTACCAAGTAGCGCAGCGACTCTTAGGATGACTGAGGTTAAGCGCCCAGCGCCGTGGGATGGTGTGATTATACAAGGGGAGGATGAGCAGGCAAAGTTTTTGATTTTTCGGTCAAACATGATTGCTATGTTTGCGCAAGAAAGAGTCCGTCCGGGAAGTGGTATTGAGTGACCGCAGAATTCCAGTTGGGCTAGAAGGAGTAGACATGGAGGACTTACGTAGGATGCACTCGCCTGAGACGGTAGACAAGGCGATCACGGCGTGGAATTTGATTATCACGACAATCACCTACATGCCTGTCTTGACCCAGATTATTGCTGATGGTAGTCCCAGTGGAGGTTGGAAACTATTTCTAGCATACTACGAACCCCAGGCAAGGGCAGAAAAAACACGGTTGACTGCAGAATACCATGCAATCAAAATGCGAGTGGGTGAAACCCCGCAAGAATACTTCGGGAGATTTGCTGTTTTGCGCAGTAGGTTAGCCTCACACGGCGTCACGTACCCCGACGATGATGCCAATCTGCACGTTGTGTACAACTTGTCTTCAGAGTACAAGATGGAGAAAGCCATGCTGCGTGCCCTTCCGCCCCCCAATTTAACCCGTCAGCACCTTGAAAAGGTCGTGAAAGATGCCCATCAGGATATGGTGACCGCACGGGAGGGGGAGCCGCAGAATGGCGCGGGGCACGCTTTCGTCGCTGCCGGTGGGAACCGGGGCGATGGACGTGTCCAAAATGGGTCCAGTGGGAACGGCGGGGGTCAGGACGGCAGTGGAGGCGGTCGGAGCAGCAACAACAGGGCGGACGGAGACAAGAGCTGCGACTATCATCCGTACTCGTCGCACACCAACAGCGAGTGCTACACCCAGCGTCGCCAACGGAAGAAGCAGCAGCCCAAGCAGCAGCAGCCTCAGCAACAGCCTCAGCAACAGCCGCAGCCACAGCAGCAGCCCCAACAACAGCAACAGCCCCCACACCAGCAGCGGCCTCAGCAGCAACAGCAACCTCGGGGACCGCCGCCACAGCAGCCGAGCCGCAGTGGGGGGGGCTGGGGGGGTGGGCCCCAGCACGGACCTCACGGCGGCTACGGAGGACAGCAGCATCACGGACATCCAGCTCCCCCCCGTACACCGCAGCAGCAGTGGCGGCCCCCGCACGGGCATGCAAATGTGAGTCAAACGTAGAGTGCTGCGCCCCATGGGGGGCCCGCGTATGGCACCGAGTATGGGGGGTGGGAGCAGCAGCCACAGTATCAGCAACCGTCGCAAGACTACAGCTACCAGCAGCAGCCGTACTACCCGCCTCCGACACCGTACTACCAGCAGCAGCAGCAGCCACCGCCGCAGCCTCCGCCACCGCCGTCGTTCCAGCAGCAGCAGCAGCACTCGACCCATGCCCCGTACCATTCGCCTCCTCCCGACGCAGCCGGATCCCCTGGGCATCTTCACTTCCTCAAGACACGTTTTGTGTCACAAGGCGAGATCTTTCCAAATGTGGTAGCGCGTGAGAATGGTAGTGGTTTCGCTTTGTCTGTTCAGAGTCGCCCTTCGCAGATTGGTAGAGAGCAATTTTGGGCCGACAGCGGCGCGAGCAACACGTTTGTCAGCAGTAGCAAAAACATGTTCGACATGAAGCCAATCCCAGCAGGAAAAGAGTTCATCCAAGTAGGGAATGGTGCCTATCTGCGCGTGCAATGTGTTGGTAGCATCAACATGGCATTTCACATGCCCGGCCCTTCGGGCGAGACCGATTTTTGCGTGCAGATGTCGGACGTGTACGTAGTCCCCGGCATCACATTCAATCTGTTTTCTCTCCACCATACGCAGCGTAGGCAGAGAATTATGTTGGATGAGAATGGCGTGCATCTCTTCAATGGCCAGCTTTCCTTTGCCTACTCCGATGTAGGATGTTCACTTTGGGCCACTCGCTTGCCTCCCACGTATACCGGTAGTGCTGTGACCCTCGGTCCCGATGCCCTCCCTCGTGTGTCTCCCCAAGCTCCCTCGCCTAGCGTTGGGACAGGCCTTGTTGTTGCGAACCCCCCTTTCCCACCAAACACAGGAGCGGGCACACCTGCGAGTACGAGCTTCCAGTCCGCCGGTGGAGTCGCTGCCGGTGTTGTACCTTCGAGTTCGAGTGCGAGTCCGAGCTTCCAGTCCGCCGGTGGTGCCACTGCCGGTGTTGTACCTTGGTCTGCGAGTGCATCTTCGAGCTTCCCATCCGCCACTTCCGGTGTAGTGCTTCCGCATTGTGCATTCCCGCCCATCGACGTAGATGTAGTGCCAACGACTATTGCCGACTTCCAGCCTGTAATTACGGCTGCCGTAGCATCGTCTGAGATTGTTTCTCCCTCCGTCGTTGACCCGAGCGATTCTCGTGAAGTTGTGATCAACCCCCTCATCCCCCAGGACCATTTGCCTCTCATGGATATGAGCATGTTCCTTGATGTTGGCCTGATGGATGGAAAAGACTCGGTCCCACAGGGTGATTTTTTTCCGGATGCCCTTGATGTTTGCGATTCCGCAACACCCCCTCCCCCCGCGTTTCCCGTGATGAGTGATGACTTGGAGTGCCTGAAAGGTTTTGTTGCTGGATGCAGTGAGCAGCAGACCGTAGCTCCCCCCTCTCTCTCGCATGCCTTGGCGATTATCGCCCCCGGTGCTTCCCCATTTTCGGTAGGAAAATCCACGCCCACCATCGATATTAATTTGTTCCATGCCTCCACCGGCCATGTCATCGAATTCTTGATGCGTGAAACGGCCAAGCAGCAGGGCGTACGATTGGTGGGGGAGATGCAGCCGTGTGTGGGCTGCGTGGAAGCGAAGGGTAGGCGGGCCCCGGTGCCGCGGCGTGGCACCCGCGCGGCGGTACCGTTCGGCAAAATCCACATCGACCTCACGGGCCCGTTCTCTGACGCGTTGGACGGCTCCCGGTATCTGATCATGTTCGTGGACAGCGCATCGCGGTGGCAACGGGGGTACGGGATGCGGGCCAAGAGCGACACCCTGAAGTTCGTGCAGCGGTTTCTCGCCGACATGAACGGCATGGGCACTCCGGGGTGTTTCCGCATGGACAACGGCGGCGAGTTCACCGGCTCCGCGTTCAGCTCGTTCTGCGACGCTGCTGGCATTCGGCGCGAGTACACCGCCCCCGACACCCCCAAGCAAAACGCGGTGGTCGAGAGCGCCATTTGGCGCGCCATGAAGGGGGGCCACGCCGCTCGCCGCCACATCCTCGCCATGGGCCACGTCGACCTCTCCTCCGTCCCCAACGTCGGCGTCAACGGACATCGCCTGTGGCTCGCGTCGGCGCTGTGGGCATCCGCCTGCTTCAACCGCTCGGCGACGAAGGCCAACCTGGGCTGGATGTCTCCGTTTGAGGCGTTCTTCGGCCGGAAACCGCCCCTCACCGTCGTCCCTTTTTTCCAGGAGGGGATGATGCGCGTGAAGCGGGCTACCAAGGCGGACGTCCAATCCGCGCGGTGCTTCTANAAGAGCGCCATTTGGCGCGCCATGAAGGGAGGCCACGTCGCTCGCCGCCACATCCTCGCCATGGGCCACGTCGACCTCTCCTCCGTCCCCAACGTCGGCGTCAACGGACATCGCCTGTGGCTCGCGTCGGCGCTGTGGGCATCCG